TACATATACATATATAATAAATGTTTATAAATGTGCCCATATATGTATCTTTCAAAAGATATCAACAAATAGTAACATTTCAGAGAATTCTTCATTTATACAATATGTTTCAGGAAATTGTTACCTAAGGTGAAAGAATAATTATCTAACTTAACACTTATACGGTGCTTTGAAATACAGAAGATAATAGTTCAGTTCAACTGTAACATTGATACTATATCTTTTATTTATTTATATATTATATTTGTAAGCGGCTCATCAGCAATAGTCTTCTTTGTGATCGTAAAGCATCATTCTCCCACCCCATTTACATTGTTATGACTGAAGTATTGAAAGGAAATTCATTGTCACTGACATCAAGACAAAGGCGATTTTTAAAACAAGAATTTCCAGATGTTCACAAATGTCTTAATCACAAGTATCTCGGAGGCTGGGAGGCAGCAATTCAATCTACCTACCTGGAAAATTATTAATTTCTCAGTTCCTTCCATATTTTGGTATTAATTTCTTTACATTAAAGTATCCTTCGTACATATATTCAGAGTTCTTGTCTGCAAATTCTATACAGGGAGTCTGATTAAGGAGGAAGTATACTAGAGCACTGTCCTTGTGAATGAAGAAAGCTTTTGATTTATTAACTTCAGCTTAGCCTTAAGTTTTCCTTTTATTTGCTAATGATAACAAACCTGTATGTAATGCAGGTACTGATCCACCGCAGTACACTTGGGTATATTGTATCCTTTGAAAAATGAAAAGTCTTGACTGAACATGTTTTCACTGAACCACACTTTAGCAAATGTGTTAAGGAGCCTTTTGTCATAGTCATCTGTAACCCTTCCACCATACTGAATTTCCCCAATCATATAACGAACAGTGTTCCAGGACACCCCCTGAAAAAAAAATATGGTATGTTCATGCAACCGTATACTAAAATAAGTGTAAATGTATATCAATCAATCAATCAATCAATCAGAATAGAACTGGAAGGGACCTTGGAGGTCTTCTAGTCTTCTAGTTCATGTGCATATGAAAGATCTGAAAATTCCTCTGCATGTATTATCTTATTCTGAACTAGACTGAGTCAAAAATAGTTCCATTATTAAATTGTAATCCTCCCCCAATATACTTTGCTATCTCTCTCTTGTTTTTAGCTATCTTCTTTCTCTTCCAACAGCATATCATAGCCATCCAATATATATTACATCTGGTATCAGGACAATCCATTCTCACCTCTAAATCTAATCTAGTGAATTTAATGGCTGTTTAACATAAAAGGTTAATTGACTATATTACACTGAGTGAAGATTGGTTGACAACAGTGTAAATTATTTCAAGTTTCATATATGCTGCTGGAGATTTATTTCCAGCCAATTAGTGCCAATTAACCTTTTTGATGTCCATGTCATCCAAATGGTTCTGAACAAACTGTACTGTGGCATTGAAATCAGCTTGGTTGAATTCATAAGGAATATTCCATCCTAGAGGTCCAAATTTCCTTCTCTCCTGAACAGTGGAATGGAGGAAGGCCACAGCATACAAGATTGGCTTCCACTGTACCATGTTGCTGATGTCCAAGAGATCTTGATTCACACCTGTAACAAAGTCATTGACCATTATAAACAAACTTTCCTATAAAGCCCTTTATGAAAAGCTTTCTGTTTTATTTTGGCTTTCTGGAACTGCATTTTTCCTCTGCAATTCCCATTTAATCATAACTTCTATAACCGTGGTGGTGAACCTATGGCACAGGTGCCAGAGGCGGCACTCGGAGCCCTCTCTGTGGGCACACGCGCCATCGCCCCAGTCCTAGGCCTTCAGCTGGGTTTTATAAAACCTTTTCACTTTAGGCCTCCGCCGCAGTGTGCAAAAAAAAAAAAGGTTAAATCAGTCAATTTCAACTTCTCGCGGAAAAAAAAAGATCTTGCAAAGTTGGAATTGACTGATAGAACTTTTTAGTCCCACCCAGTCTGCCGTTACCACTGCAGCCACGCCCACCCAATGGGCCACGCCCATCCAATGGGCCATGCCCACCCGGCACTCGACGATGCATAAGTGGGTTTTGGGTTGCAGTTTGGGCACTCAGTCTCTAAAAGGTTCGTCATCACTGTTCTATATGATAGTTGCTTATAGAAAAAATAATATTATATTTCTCACATATATGTTGTACTTGAAAAGAATAGTCATACATAAGTATCAAAGCAAATTCTCCAAACCAGGGGTGTCAAACTCGCAATGTCACGTGATGTATCATGACGTATCATGACTTTTTTTCCATTGCCGGCAATGGATTGGGCGTGGCTTCAGCATGATGCATCCAGCCCACGGGGTGGCAGTTTGACACCCCTGCTCTAAACCAATCACAAATCTTGAAGTAATGGAGCCGCTGTGGCGCAGTGATTAGAATGCAGTATTGCAGGCTAATTCTGCTGACTGCCAGCAATCGATCTTGACTGGCTCCAGGTTGACTCAGCCTTCCATCCTTCCGAGGTTGGTAAAATGAAGACCCAGATTGTTGGGGGCAATATGCTGACTCTGTAAATCGCTTAGAGAGGGCTGTAAAGCACTGGGAAGTGGTATATAAGTCTAAGTGCTATTGCTATTGCTAATATATATGAATGAAAACACTCAGTAATTTTTTTTTAATATTCTGCTGGTATTCATTTTCAATAGTTAGTCAGACATGTTCTAACTGATAATTTACTGACTAGCAAATGATTATAACATCCAGCTATTTATAGGCATGCCTATAGCCATTTATATTATATTTAATATATGTTTAAAGTAGAAAATCCAGTACAAATTGACTGATCAAAATACTCCAAGCACTCTTAAGATCATTCAAGGTATATGATTTTGTCTCACTGAAAACAGAATAAAATATCCAATTCTATGGGGAAAATTTATGAAATATCTGTAAGACAGCTGAGGCTCAGTCGCTCACCTCCATACGTTCTCTTCAGGCCAGCTTTAAGTCCCTGGGGAGGTTCATTGGTGAATTTTATAGACATTTGTAGAAGGGTGATAGGAAAGTGTTTGTGGACCTCTGTAGTCATCCACAAGCGAAAGGCCTCATGAACTATCTCTGTTTCCACAACAGTGTCCATCAGCTCATCCATAAAGTCAAGACCCAAGTGGCAGTTCTGCAAAAGGGCCCATCCACCCTAAGAGAAGAAGATTTTAAGAGACATGCAGCTGGGTTTATTATTCCCTTTGGAAGTCAACACTATGCATTCAGATTATTGTTGCCTTCCAATGATATTACAATTCACAGTTCCTCAGTGCTGACACAGTATTTTACAAATATATCATAATGAGTTTCTAGCTCTAAAGGTATCTGAAATATAGCCAATAAACTAAGAATATGAAAGAATTCCATGGATCCTACTTAGAACAGATTTTTTGTGGTAGGATGAATGCTATCTTGTACATATCCAACTAGCATAATCTTTCACTCAACATCTTCAACAATGATCAATTTTATTTTGAAAATGAAATTCAACAAAGTAACAACAAATCCGCAATATAAATGTGTTTCACACAAGCAATATGTATTCCTGAATGCTCCCAAATATAAACATGTATCGGATTGTGCCTACAATTTAGCAATATTTTTGAATCATAATATATGGAGCAATTGATTTAAAAACATAATATATTTTTTATTTTCAGAATGCTACTGGCTAGAAATAATCCTGTTTTGCTCTTTAGAAATAAAAAGACAAATTCTATCCGAAAAAACAGCTATTAGGTATGCTATATTCATGTTTAGCTAAGCTTCACTAGTAATTTGTAATATTCTATTTTTTTTTTAAATGCCCTATACCAAATTAGCATGGAAAAGTTGCCTTACATGAGCCATAGTTTGCTGCAGGAGTTTACGCGCATGGACTTCTTGTCCCTGACCCATAGAAACGTAGCGTGTCTCAATTTTCAACCTTTTCCCCAAAGCAATGATTGAATCAGTAGGATCAGAGCCCATTGACAGGAAGCAGATGAGAGGTGTGCGTGGATCAGATTCTTCCCAAGTCTTCTCCAAATCTAAAATGACCCCTTCTGCATATTTTTCTCCCATGGTATCCATAATGTACTTCCTAGCCTAATTTTAAAAAAGATATACAGTATATTAAGGTTTTATTTGTATTTAATAGGAAAAATGCAGGGACTTTGGAGACAAAGCATTTAGAGAAGAATTTGCAGGATATTTGATCGAACATGAATGTACAATAAACCCATTAGAACATTACAGAAGTATGGTGCAAATCTTATTATACCATGTGAGCAGTAGTATTGTGTATATATAACTACTAAGTGTTCATATTATTTAAAATAATGTCTGCAGGATTCTCACTAAACTTTAATAAGCATAAAGTGCCTATAGCAGTATTTGCATTTCAGCATTCTCATTGAAAACAACAGGACAAATATCCAATTTGTAAAGCTGGGATTGAAGCCAAATGGTATTCATTTGCTGATATAAGAAGAACAATCTCAATCCCTTCATCACAAATAACACTGAGATTTACTGGAAAGCAGTGTACAATTACTACTTTCCCCAAAGCTAATGTTTTGCAATGTCCCTTTAAGGTTCATTCATTTCTCGGAGATTTTCCACAATACAGTGATATCCCTGGCCATGTAGACACTACTGTAGGTTTAAGGGAAAGCCTAGACCTCAAGAAAAACATTCTTTCCATCCATAAGATCAAGAGCTGGTTTTGGAAATGCAGCCCTTGGAAAATATTATATATCTCACCAGCATTCAGTGCCATTGGTTATAGAATCTTTTTGGACTCCTGAATCGGTTGGGAGTTCAAAGAACCATTTTACATACTGGCGTATGGTCTGGGAATGGGCAATAGAAATGACTAGGCAAAACATTCTATACAAACCTGAGGCATTACTATTAGGAATACTAGAGGAAAATGTAAATAAAGAGGACACATATTTAATTATTCACGTGGTTACAGCGGCAAGGATACTATTTGCTCAAAAGTGGAAAGCAATGGAAGTACCGAGTAAGGAAGTACTAATAAAGAAAATTATGTATTGCGCAGAACTAGATAGGATAACTAAAAGATTAAAAAAACAGGAAGAAACAGAATTTTATCAAATATGGAATAAATTTTATAGACGGAGGGAAAAAAATGGAGGTCACAAATAAAGAGATAATTTAAGATAGAGACCAGAAATGTATAGTTTGTATATACTGTAGATATATTATATGTAATTAATGTATAATATGGACTGAGATGTCAGTCAAAGACGATTTACCATGTTCAATGTTTTTAATTCTTTTTCTTTGTACTCAATAAAAACTTATTAAAAATTAAAAAAAGAACCATTTTACAGTGGTTCAATTCCCATCAGAATAAAAAGATCTAACTGATATTAATGGATGTTGAGCGACTGAACCCTTGATCATCCCTGTATGGGGTGCCAGAAATCTTGATATTTCCCTTCACATCACTTAATATCTATGTGAAATTGATGGTTGAGATCAGGTATGAGACTGGGGTGAGGTATCAACAATACCCTAATGATATCTACTTGCATGTCTCCATCATGGGGCTGGACCAGACTGCAAGTTCTTACTCCTGACTGAGGTTGAAATTGAATCTTAGGCAAATTGAAATTGAATTCTAGGCAAGAGTAACTTATTATTTATTTCAGAAGCTATTAGATTTGGCAGAGACTCCCCTCCCCACCATCCCACATACCACACCCTGACCCTGGACAAGTTTACAAGATTCTCACTAAAGGAACAGATCTATTTCTTGAGAATTATCCTGGATTCATGGATTCTACTTGATTAGCAAGTGGAGATTGTAGCCTAGGGAAACTTTGCCAACCTTTGGCTGCTGTACCGGCTCTTTTTGGGAGGTACTGGCAATAATAACCCATGCCTTCATTACCTTGAGATTGAATTACTGCCACATATTTTATTGGAAGCTACCTTTGAACTACCAGGAAAGTTTATTTTTTACAGTCCATATGCTGGTAGGTTAGAACATTTCAACAATGCAACATCAATATTGTAGATACTGCATTGCTATCAGTGTGCTTCTGAATACAGTCTGAAATGCTGGCTTTGATCTCTAAAGTTTTGTATATTTTAGATCCACGTTGCTTTATCTTCTCCGGAATCTGGAGGAACTAAAATGTGCTGCTTCTGTGGCAATAGAAGAAGAATGAAATAAAATGATAGCCTCATGAATGTACATGTTGGAAAGGTGAAGCAGTCCTCCCTTCAAACGACTCATGGAATTGTGTTTGTGTATGTGTATACAGTAACTGTATATGTTATGCATAACAACCATAAAGATGCTCTTCACCATATTCTATTATTAAAACTTTCATACATTCAGGTTTCAAGTTAGAACTGTCTAACCTAAAGCATATATACCTACCTGAGCAATAGTTCTGTCGGGACACCAAGACCTAGTAAGGAGGAGACGTCTGAAGCAGTCCAGAGCTTGATCATAGCCACTGGGAACCAGTTCTTCTTCTGGTTTTTCCTTATCAAACCAAATTTTCCACTGTTTTTCTGTCCGTGAGATCTAATAATATAATACAATGGGAGTATCATATTCCACAGGAGTCATCAATACAGCCCCCTTTTCCTGATTTGAAGACAGACTGCTTATCATTTGTTAAGGACATCTCTCATGTTGGAGTGACCATCTTGGGGCCAGTCTGCTATTGAGATGGATCAAGGTGATCTGGCAGGACAATGTTTTCCACAGGAAAATGGAAGAAAACCCCTACCTACATGAACATTCTGTGCCACATAGAAGTGTCTTTGGATGGACAGTGACCTATTAAGGTTTAACCAGCCATTGAAGGACCACCCATTCCCATCAGTCAGAGAGTTCTGTGCTCCTTGGCTATATTAGCAGTAGTTGCAAAACAACCCAAAATTTGGCTTGGGTGACAAGTTTTCCCTTAAGGGGGTGAGGGTGTTGGATTGTCAAATATTAACTTAATGGCAGACCAAAATATATCTTCAAGATTGTTATTCCTATCGGTAAACGCTGTCAGCTTAAAATGCACTGTGCAGGCCGTCACAAGGAAGATTCTTCACCTTTTTGGCCCTTAATTCTGTGCTTACTAAACAGCACAATCACCAACACAGCAGCAGCAGCAGCTGTCTCCTGTGAGGGCAGCAGTTCTCATGGCCTCCCGAGGCAACAGATCGTGAAAACAGATCGTGAAGAGGATGTCTAGTGTCCCAGACAATCACAGACCCTGCTCAAGCAATGCTTATGTGCTATGTCATGGATGGAAGGGAGGGCACTGCCAATAATCTTTTCAGCCATCCTTACTACTCTGCACCGCCTTCCTGTCTGAAGCAGTGATGCTTCTAAACCAGACTGATGCTGTATGACAGGATGCTCTTGATCGTCCCTCTGTAGAAAGTGATACGGATAGGAGAAGGAAGATGTGCTTTTCTCATGCAACGCAGAAAATGCAGGCACTGCTGTGCCCGCTTCACCAGTGTCTCACTATTGAGTGGCCAAGTCAGCCTACTTGTTAACTGCATACCCAGGAATTTGATGCTGGTAACCATCTCCACATGTGAATCATTAATGCACAGAGAAGTGTGGCTGTGCCTTCCTTTTCTGAAATTGACAATGATTTCTTTAGTTTTTCTAGTGTTTAAAACTAGGCTGTTTTCCTTACACCAGTTCACCAAACCATCAACATCCTTGCACTAAGCACCCTCATTGTCATCATGAATAAGGCCCACTACTGTTGTATTATATGCGAACTTGTC